ACAAGTTAGATTTGCCTAAATTAGCTTAGTTGGCAGAGCCAAAATTTAAAAAAATGTTGAAAAAATAGATGCAAGATCAGCCCATAATGCGACAGTGAGATAATATGAGAATAAAGAGATGAATAGTACATCCTTTTTTATGTAACATATTATGAACTTTTGATGTACAAGGTGACCAATTTGAGAAAGATAATCATGACTGTTGTGAAGTTTATGACTTGCCTTGACAATTGAGTGATTTCTTGTGAAATAAATGATGATACTAGAGTTACAAATTCACATTAAAGTGAATTTATGATTAAATATTTGCAAGATGTTCCCACATGGTTCAAAGGTTGGAGGAGACATTTCAACTCTTATGACCTAAGAAATTCACAAAGATTAATAACAATATGAAGTTTTTTTCGCAACCAAGGTGATTCTTTTCATCCAGCCTATGATTACCAATGAGTCTGATTGCAAAAACACTAAAACAGGGGTTATCTATTTTTTTGCAGCAATAAATACGACTCTACCTAGCATATTTGTTAACATACATGAAGCAATGAGTTGAGTTCTGTCTAATTTCAATGATATTTTATCATAATTAGCTTTCGCCGTTGAGAAGCATTTACGTATCAATATTTTTTCTATGTTATCACAAAAAATTCACTTCAAGAGAGTTCTTGTCCTTATGTGGTATCACGCTCTTTGAATGAAATTGATTGTAGAAGGATGACCACTGAAATCAACAATCATAATTAAATATAGGTTCCATATACTTGAACTTGATCACAAGATTTACCTGATGGTAGATTTGGTGATCTTTTGGAAGGCTAATCTTTGAGACGGTTGCCGATAAATTCAAGTTTGTGAGGAGTATAAGTGGTAAACAACCTTTAAAATTAAGATAACCAATATTCGGGATTGGTTATGCTTTGAGGTTAATCCATGCACCATCCTCTTCCATGATAGTTACGATATTCCATAATTTTTTTTTTTCCGTTATTGTCATCTTTGATAAAATTCAAATATAAAAAAAGACTATGGAGATCCATTTCATATAACTTGGGAGTGTAATTGAGGTTCTACAAAAGAGAAACTGTTTTAAATATGAAAAGTGCATATTTATGCGTTCTTTGTTTTAGTTCGCGAAATTGGGACAGCTAAAGCCATTACAAATGGACCAACTAGCATTTAAGAGGATGGAGCTTCCATGGCTCGTCAATCATGCATTTGCATAAGGTTTGCAAAAGAACGTATATAGTAATAGCTCATCACAATCATCTCAAGAAAGGGAAGTTCAAATGGATAAAAACTCCTAGATTTTCTTAAAATATATCAATAAAAAAAATGAAAATTTCAGCTCCAATAAATGTTGTCTTTGATAACATAAGCCAACCAGAAATACTCCGCTCACCACCATCAGTTCAGTCAAAAAGTAAAACTTGCGATACTAACATCATCTTACGTGTTCAGTCTTTAATGGATCATTATCCTTACACTATGTTAATTTCACTTCAAAATACATAAAGATAGTTTGCCAAAATTTTTTTATGATCAATTAACCTAGATTGTTGGATTATTTTTAGTGAAAGTAAAGTTTGGATTTTAATTTTCTATGTTGGAATTTTTTCTCCTTCATTCCAATTTCTTCTTCTGTCCAACAATACAACTAACTTTTCCAAGTGCTAATGAAGTGTTATAGTTTGCTGCAGCTTCCGAAATGCTAACATAAATCTAACGCATATTTAAAGAAAAATAATTCTAATCCACAAATATATTGAAACGCACAAATGCCAACAATAGATTATTATCAGTAGTTACTGAGCTCAACAAGAGTCATTAAGCCGGATGATATTGAGAGCAGAAACACTTTAACAGAAAATGGGCGTACTGTTATGAAGATTAACAGAAAATAATATGCATATTTAACAACATCTACGACAAACATATGATTATATACTACAGATGAACTTCTTTCTAATAAATAATATTATAAAAAGTAAAGCAATATCAACAATTTTTTATCATCAAATATGAATCTCGAGACATAGCACGAATCTCAAGGCAATTTTTTGGATAAGAAATATTACAATTTTGATTAAAAATCATCCTGAACTCCAATTTTAGCAAACCTACAGTTAAACTGACCGGCTCAACGAGGTGAACCCAATGATACAAAAATTGATCAAATCTGAGTCAAATTAAGCTCAGATCAAACAGTTAAACTATTTTTTGAAGTTTTCAGTGCATATTTGGAAGGTTAAATGGATTCAAAGTCTGACAAGCGTATAGTTAAATTGAGTGCCTCTATAAGTCAGATTTGTCAAGTCTAATATCAATCAATTCTGACATCATTAATATATTTAAATGTTCGCAAAACATTGTCCGATCAAGGAAATATCCTAAGGTTGTCCGATTAGAGTGGTTTGGAATCCTTCATTATTTATAATATTGACTCAATAACTAGAATCCTCCTCTTAAGAGGGGCCCTAGACCTATAGCCAGAAGAAGAGCCAAACTTGGAGGAGCTAAAGCTCAACATCATTTATGTTCTGAAGATCTGCCAAATTCCTCCCCCTCTTGCAGTCGTCGACCACCACCTGCCAGCCACCGTCAACCACCATCGGCCGCCACTTGCTCATTGAAGTGAAGCCTCTTGTGGAGTCACAACATACATTGCAAAATCCTAATTTATATCACGGAATAATGAATCATTCGACGAAGTAATACATCGCTCAGTACACGGTGCAATGACAAGTCGATGACAGTGTAACCATGCACACCACATATGAAGCAACGACGTCTCCCAAATACGGTATAACCATGAACCACAAAGATGGTGAATTCCTTCGGACTCCCAAGTTCCTGACTCATGTCTTAATGGTTTACGGGCGTCATCACAATTCAGCATTATGACTTGTGTGATCAATTACAGCCTATGTGATACACAACTTATGCAGCTCCCACTCCTGCTTTGCGGCCTACAGACGACATCACAGCTTACCACTACGGCATACATGATTCATAACTTGTAAAATTCCTAACTTTGGCCTCTGCGGCCTAATAACGTCTTCACAACTTACCACTACGACATATGTGGCCGGTTATGGCCTACGTTATCCATGTGTTGTGCAGCTTTGAACTTCAAACTCTGCAACCGATAGACGTCGTAACAACTTACCACTACGGACTACGTGACTTACAATTTGCGCAGCCCCTGACTCCTGCTTTTACAGTCTACATATGTCATCACAGCTCACCGTTACGTCTTATGTGACCAACTACGACCTAAATGGTCTGCAGTTTGACCAAACTCCCAACTCCAACCTCTGCGGTCTAAAAACATTATCACAACTAGTGCAGGTCCTAACACCGGCCTCTGCGGGCCACGAACGTTACCACAACTCGTGCATCTCCTGACTCCAGCCTCTGTAACCTACAAACGTTATCACAGCTAGTGCAACTCACAACTCCGGCCTCTGCAATCCACAAAAGTTATCGGAGCTTGTGCAACTCCTGAATCCAGCCTTTGTGGCCTATAAATGTTATCACAACTCCTGCAGTTCTCAAATCTAATCTTTGCAGCCTACAAATGTTATCAAAACTCATGCAACTCCCGACAAGGCCTCTGCGACCTATGAATATCGTCATAACTCACCACTAAAGTCTATATGATCAACTACAATATATGTGGTTTTAAGCTCTTGCAACTACTGACTCCTGCTTCTGCAACTTACGAATGTAATCACAACTCATCATTATGACCTATGTGGCTCACGGTTTCTGTAGCTTCCTACTAAGACCTCTGTGGCTAACAAACGCTCCTGAAATAACCACATGGGGCTTATATAGTCAATTACAACTATGACTTTCAACTACAACCTATACGACAAGTTGACGCTACAACATTCACAATAGACTACTGCCTCTATAGCAATCGATTACGACCCTTGCAGTCTACTTTCACGGAGAACTATACTAATTATAATCAGACTACGACTATTATCATAAACTACTACTGCACATTTACAATGATCAACTTTGAAATTCTATTTTATTTAATTTAAGAGAAGAGTAAACATGTGTATTCACCATTTATATTAGATTATTTCAATTGGGTTAAACCCAGTGATTTTTCCCCCTTTTCAGAGGTTTTTATATAAAATTTGAGTTTCTCATTTTGCTTCACTCTTTCATTATCTGAGTGTGAGCTAGGTTTTCTTACAACACTAAGATAATTTATTACTCTACTATCGTGGACCTTCCAACACACATAAAAAAGAATATTAGCAAAATACATAATATAAATAACAAAAAACTGTAATCACTACTCAATAAGTTAATATAGGTACAAATAATATTCTGTTTAAAAAAATGGGCAAAATGCACAATGTTAAATCAAGATTAGCCAGAGGAATTAAAAAAGAAGCAAGTAACGCAGAAATTAGGTATCTTCGGCTGCTCGACGTTGGACTCTCGCTGTCGATCGGGAGATGGCCGAATTAAGTCTGGAAAAAGGGTTTAAGAGGCTTCTAGAGAAGTGACGATGGAAGCATCGTGCCTCGCTTCAGTGGTGAGCAGACATGCGGCTTGTCGACTGGACATTCAGACAAAGAAAAAAAATTGGTGAAGATTACTCAAACAAGATCGGCTTGAGCGATGCGTGTGAAAAAGGTTTCACCTTCCAGCTCGAGCAAGAAATAAGTATGAGGAAAAAATCGCCATATGATTCTTTTCCATGCCTCGAAATTAGATTTAAAATTGCCTTTTTCCACCATTCGACATAATTTAAATCCTGCTACCAAACTGCCCTAAATGTTTCAACGAAACGAAAACAACTTGATCCTAATCCAAACTCTCTATGCCTCAGTCCACATCACTTCCTGTAAATACTAACCACAATGAAACTATGAAAGCAAAAAAGCAAGCAGTTCCCACCGAATGAATATCCACAAATTCCAGAAATAGGGCCTGAAAACGATCATAAACGCAGAAACACGCAAGCATCCACATACCTTTCACGGAAAATTTTTTCCCCGGCGACCAATATCGTGCATCAGAATCGAAAAAAATAGCTCCGCAGAAAGGAACTGCGCGCCCTCCCTTTCCCTCCCTCCCAAAGTACAACAAACCAGAAGCTAGGACCGATCCAGAGTTACAAGAAACTCGGCGGCCGATCCGAGCCGGAGCGAACACCACCCGATCGAACAGACCGACCGCCCGCGGCCGCTCCGCCCACGCAACCGGCTGCCTCGGTTTTCCCAACTCAAAACCGGTTCAAACCCTAAATTGACCGGCTGGAGACGGGTGGTGCGATGAGGACCCAATTCCCCGAACCATCAGAAGTGAACCCATCATAGCCCCCAATCGTTTCAGATATATTGAGCAATTTTTTACACATGGCGTTGGGTATGATTTGGGTTTAGAACGTATTGGTCCCTTTAGTAGAAACCCCTGGTATCGATATCCGGTTTAGCCGGTTGGTATTCTGAACCCATTTCCATCTATAAATTCCAAACCGAACCGCTTCGTCTTTCTTTCTCGGTTCCGGAGGCGCGAAAGAAAACCCTCCTTAAGGAGAGCCGATGGCCGCCCAGCTCGCCTCGTGAATAGCGAAAACCCAGGCAAGTGACTCATAATTCACTTCTGCTTCATGATTTGAGTTTCTTTTACCCGTTGAGTCAACCCACACAGAAAACACCCAAACGAACCACCCTATCTTCACCACGTAACTTTAGGGCTAGAGGACGGCCGGTTATTTCCGTTGGTTGTTCAAAAGCTCCTTCTTGGTCTATGATGACGACGTCGGAGATCGTGCTGCCGATCGGCAACCAGAAGCACGACCCGGCTTGGAAGCATTGCCTCATGATCCGTTCCAACGGCAGGACTAAGCTCAAGTGTATTTACTGCATGAAGCTCTTCCTCGGCGGCGGCATTCACCGAATCAAGGAGCACCTTGCACGTCACAAAGGGAATGCTGCCTGCTGCCCAAAGGTTCCTTTAGAGGTGCAGCATGCGATGCAGCACAGTCTCGATGGCGCCGCCATTAGGAAGAAGCGGAAGATTAAGCTTGCGGACGAGGTTGGTCATCTGAATCCTACGGAAATCTCTGCAGCCGCCTGCGACATTGATCACTCTGCCAATTCTGGTTTGCAGATTGTGCCTCTTAATGAAATGCTCGATCTTGGCACTGTTCAGATGGAAGCTAAGGAAGATAGCTGTGTGACTCCCCTGCCTCGCGCAGCGAAGTCAGCTGAGAGGGGAAGGAAGCGCCGGACGAAGAATTCCTCAATGAATCACATGGGGCCTTCCTCTACCTTGGGTAATGACGGATCCTGGGTGAACAGGTCAAGTTTGGTTCAAGCGGTGGATAAGGAGCAAGTTTATCATTCAATTGGGCGGTTTTTGTACGAGGCTGGTGTGCCTCTTGAAGCGGTTAATTCTGTTTATTTTCAGCCCATGGTGGAAGCCATTGCTGCTTTCGGGCCAGGGCTTGAACTCCCCTCCTATCATGATTTCCGCGGAGGCATTTTGAAGAGGTTGATCGAGGAGGTGAACCTCACTTTGGAGCACTACAAGCGGACTTGGGGTCACACAGGCTGTTCAATATTGGCTGATGAGTGTTCGACGATGGAGAAGACTTTGATTAACTTCTTCGTGTATTGCCCCGAGGGAACTATGTTTTTGAGATGCGTTGATGCCACCGAGATTGTTGCCACTGCTGATACTTTGTATGAGCTTTTGAAGCATGTGGTGGAGGATGTTGGCCCAAACAATGTGATTCAGGTGATTACCAATAACTCCGACATCCATGCCTTTGCAGGGAAAAGATTAACTGAGACCTTCCCCACTTTATTCTGGAGTCCTTGCGCTTCTCAATGCATTGATCTTATATTGGAAGATTTTTCTAAAATGGATTCCATGATTGATACAATAGAGAGTGCGAAATCGTTAACCAGGTTCATATATAGAACTGTACCTGTTCTTAATATGATGAAGAAGTATACTCATGGTAAAGATTTGTTACGTCCTGCCAGTAGCCGTGCAGCCATGAATTTTGTTGCTTTAAAGAGCTTGGTTTGTTTGAAAGAGGAGTTGAGAAACATGGTCACTTCTGAAGAATGGCTAGAATCACCATACTCGAAGAAGCCGGATGGGGTTGCCATGGCTAACCTTATTCTAAATTCGCTATTTTGGATCTCCTGTGCTGCAATCAATCGGATTACAGAACCACTTGTGCAATTACTGAAACTAGTTGAAAGTAAAAAGAGGCCAGCAATGGGCTATGTTCATCTATGTTTGTATCTAGCTAAGGATGCTATAAGAAAGGAATTTGTGAAGAAGAGTGATTACATGCCATATTGGGATCTTATAGATTGGAGATGGGACAAGCAGCTTCCTCGCCCTCTCCATGCTGCGGGGTTCTTCTTGAATCCACAGTTATTCTACAGCACAGAGGGGCAAATCTCCAATGAAATTTCATCCGGAATGTTGGATTGTATAGAAAGATTGGTGCCTGAAGCGAAGGTTCAAGATAAAATTCAGAAGGAACTGAATTATTATAGGGGTGCTGATCGAGATTTTTCAAGGAAAATAGCCGTTAGGGCTAGACGCTCTTTACTTCCGGGTGAGAAAGCAAACTTGCAACATTTTTTTTCCTGTTAATACTTTAGTTTTCTTTTGTGTGTTTTTGAATGCATTCTTCATTGATTTATTACTATAGCTGAATGGTGGTCTACATATGGGGGGAGTTGCCCAAACCTTACACGTTTGGCTATTCATATCCTCAGTCAAACCTGCAGTGCAAGGGGACCTGAGCGGACTCATATACCTTTTGAACAACTTCATAATGAAAAATTGAACTTTTCTGAGCGTCAGCGGCTATGTGAACTTGTATATGTTCGCTATAACCTTCGGTTACAGCAAAGGTGAGTAAAAGACTGAATTAAGAGCTTGTTAAGAAGTAAATTTTGAAATCTGATTATGAACAGCTGGTTAAGAAGTAAATTTTGAAATCTGATTTGAACAGATTCTCTTTGCTGAAACATTTTTCTTTTGTGCGTTAATAGTCGTGTTATGTGAATTTACAGGCATGTTTTGAAGAACAGATGCTTTGATCCAATTTCTGTTGATAATATTGATGTTGTTGATGATTGGGTGGGGAATCACCCACTGTTTTCAGCGGATGCTGACTCGAGCTGGCTGGTTTTCAATCAACCTGAGTCTATCGAACAACAATCTGAATCTTCATTAGATGAAGTTGAGACCCTTATCTCAGGTATATGTTGTTCTTTATGAAGTATAGACACTTGTAAATGGCTTTCGTGTTTGTGTTGGACATGCGTTGGGTTTAGTCACGGCTTCGACACGTTTGAGGCATTCCTAACACGCCACAAACACTGTTAGGATTTTTTATTTTAAATTTGGGCTGCGACACGGCACGGACATAGTGGGACAAGTCAAGGAAACAAAGACGAATACTTTGTGATAAAATATTTAATTTTAATGGCATTTACATTCATACCACCTAATTCCTATATATTTATGCATCTAACGCTTAAATTTTGTTTTTTACATTTATAACACCCAAATCATTTATACCTCATAAAAAATACCCCATTTTAAATTTAAAAAAAGTGAAATACATTTTTTCATGCATAGGTAAGGTGGAATGGATGTAAAAATTTATGTTTAGTTATTAGATATGTAAATACGTAGGAATTTAGTGGTAATGTATGTAAATCCTTCTTTATATTATTAATTGTTTTTTATTATTTTTATTCTTAGAAAATTCCTTTTATGATAATGTTTTTTATCATGTAATGTTATATGTTTTCTATTGATAACTTATAAAATATAAAATGTGTCCAGACTTGTTTTGTCTTCAATTTGCAATTATGTTGCATTTTATAAATGTCGTGTTGTATTCATGTCTTCGTGTTTGTGTACAGGCTTCATACTTTTCTTCTCCTGACTTGAAATAATTAATGGGTGAATGTTCTATTTAAATGTTGTATCCTGCAGCCCTTGATGATGATGTGATTCGTAGTGCTGGTCGAGGCATAGAGGATAATGATGAGATCAAAGAAGAAGAAGATAACCATGATGATTCCGCTTTCACTTGATCTAATATGTAACATTAGATGTTTGAACGAATCTAGGTAAGTTTGCCAGCCAATTCAAAAGGTGCTTGTAAATTTGTAGATGATTTTGGATTTTGATATTTAATTTAAATGAAATAAAACCGAAATTTTGATTCTGAATTATTTAATTTTGATTTTAGTCTTTCAAAATTTGATTACAACAACAACAACAACAACCCGCTTAACTACCCAAGCTTCTTTCTATTTTTAAAATTGATATACAACCTTTTTAAATGCGTCTTATTGCTTCAAGAACTAGCCTCTTTTATGACGTGATATAAGGTTTTAGTGAAATCATGTTCTTATTTGGTTTAATTGCTCATTCTTTCTTCAATGATGTTCTAATTGATCATAAGAAAATAGACCTTGTGAAGCATTTGTCTATGCTGTTTTATAGAAATTTAAATTTGTTTTTTGGTTAGTGTTGTACTTGGGTAGCCTTGCTTAAGAACTCCCAAAATTTAGGATTTTTTTGGGGGCAATTTTTTACATAACTTTGCTTCTTAGATAGCTATACTGGTAATGCTTAACGGCAACCTTTTTTTTCAAAAGAAAATATATGCGGTGAGAGAAACTTTTATAGTTAGACCTACAAAATTATGATAATTAAAAAAAAAACTGTTATTTAATTTCTATATAAAAGAAAAAACCTATAATGACACTGCAATTTTAAAAAAGTCTATGTTCTTATGACAATTTTGTGGAAAATCTGAAAGTTTTTTTTTTTTTCTGGGCTAACCGACCCTTTCAATCTCCCAAGATTGGATTGGGAGATTATCTTTATTTTCTTTCTATTCATGCTTTTTGTTATTTTTTATTTCTGAATATTTACTTTCAAAATAGAAGTTTGATATTTGGTAAATTTGTAAGTTAGGAAGCAATTTTCCTCCCCAAATAATTTCGACGTGGTATCAAAGCCCTAATAAAAGCCATATCTTCCTCCGACTGTCGAACTTCCTCCTCTATCTGGAATCCCTCTTTCCTACGCTGGAAATCCTTGCAGGCAGCCAAAACTCCTTTTTGCGGCCCTCTTTCTCCCTGCAGGCTCCCTTTTTCGGCTCTTCCCTGCCGCAAAAAATCCCCCATGTTCTCGGCTGCCAGAACCCTTTCTACAGCTAGCTTTCTATGCTGCAGACCAACCTTTGTCGGCATACTTAGCTAGAATTCCATATTGGATCCCTCCCTTGTATTCCTCTACCAGCATATTCTCCCTTCAGCAGCCAGCAACAACAATAGAAGTAGTGATGGCAATCAGAAGCAACAACAACAGAAGCAGAATCAGCGGCAAGAAGTGTCACTATTCAACCCCAGACTTGAAATTTACTGAGATGGAAAAAGACTCTCAGACAGTGAGAATTAAATTTTCAATATTCATTCTCTATAAATAAAATTTTACAAATGAAAGAGCTACCAATCAATTTAAATGAAAGAAATATAATTAAATTTACTTTCTTAATGATTGTTTGCATCTTATATAAACATTATGTCTTCTAATGCTCATTGTTAATTACTTAATTTTAAAAATACATTACTAAATAAGCAAATGAACCTATATTAATAAATTAACCTGAAAAAATAGTTTAAAAATAACTGTGGGCTAAATAAGTCAATGAATACTCATATGCCTCAACTACAGTAATATAATGGAAAAAAAAAATAATATTCATGTTAGTTAAAATTTAATAAATCAATATAAACATTTAATATATTATTCAATGCATTACTGTATCAAAATCATATTAATATCATTCTATATTTATAAAATTGTCACAGGAGCTCCATCTGAAATTTGTGTCAATTAAGACATATCCATATCAATATTTTTTTTTATATACGTACATAGATAGTTTAGTGTCCATCAATAGTATTATCAAGGGGTGGTTTAATCAAAGTCAATCATGTACATACAAATATTTTATCAAATTTATTATTTACTAAAAATATATTTCATTTTCATTTGCATATCAAACAATATATTTATAAATCATTAAATAATATTGTGCACATATATCATTCCTATATTATGAAAAAAAATTCACTAGAATTCAAAATTCCGAGTTTGCAGTAATTACAATATAACTTATGAAATTACTAATTAATGTATTTGGTCTAGAAGACTTAAAATGTCACCATAGTAGAACGTGAGTACTCACATCGATGTCGATTAATTTGTGCTTGAATTTGTGTTGATGCTGTCTCTTCTAAATTAGAAACCTAACATAAAAATGATATTTAATTAATTTATGATTTTGATAAACTTTTCCTCTTTAAGTATTAAATATAATCTCTCTTAATTTTCTATTATGTATATATATATATATATCTAATAATTTTATTATTAAATCAATTAACTCTATTAAAACTTAGCTCACTTGCACTCTGCACTCGATTCCGGTCTCGCTCTGCACGCGATAGCTCCTTTGGCTTCAGTTCCCTACCACACGAGGCATGAGCGCATCTCTTCTCCATTCTTCCTCTCTACACACTGGTTCAAATCGCACGAGGACTCTTCCACAAAGCCGCGATGCCATCCTCTTCAACTCCTTCCATCGCGGCTCCCTTCGTCTTCCTTC